TTTACAATATTTGACTAAATATAAAGTTGAGTAAGTTTGACTAAATGTAAAGCAAATTTTACTTGTAACTCCTTGAAAGGAGTAATATATAAATTATATTGTAATTAAAATATGCATGTGTAGTAAACGTTGTAATTAGAAATTGATTGAGAGCTGAAATGAATCAATAACAGTAATGAAATGAAAAGTATTCATAAAAGGGAGTGACAATTTGTGTAATTGTGTTTGAAATTTAAATTCAAAAAGGTGAAACAATATGAAGTAGGAAGTCAATTTTGGGATAAAAGGTTAAAGTTTAATTAAATAGATGTGAATTTGTTCTGACCAATTTATATATACGGAAATATTTCCATAATATTTCTTTTCAAATAAAGAAATCAAATTATAGTGTGTTGACATTGAAGAACTATTCTTTAATTGTAAAGCTTTTTCTTTTAAATCACTGAATCAAAATTCTGTTAACTACTCAGTATTTCTTTGTAATTTTCTCTAAATAAATTTGTTGTATGGTTGGGAATTCAATTTTACAGATCAATGCCCACAGAACATTGTGGTTCCAGGGGATGGTTGAGCTCATTTGGAAGTGAGAGGGAACGGCCTGGTAAGGAGAGGAAAGGATGGTCGATTACAGTTCACGACCTTTCCGGTTCACCAGTTGCGGCAGCATCAATGGTGACTCCTTTTGTTGCATCTCCTGGTTCAGACCGAGTCAGTCGTTCCAACCCGGGTTCCTGGCTGATACTTAGGCCTGGAGATGGTACATGGAAGCCATGGGGCCGTTTGGAGGCATGGCGTGAACGTGGCTCGGCTGATGGCCTTGGGTATCGGTTCGAGCTTATTCCAGACTCAGCCTCGTCTGGAGTTGTACTGTCTGAGTCAACTCTGAGTTGCAGCAAAGGTGGGAAGTTTATGATCGACCTTGCCTCGAGCGGATCAACCAGTAATGGGACAAGGACGCCTAGGAGTTCAACTTCTCCAGCTTGCAGCCCAAGGGGCAGCGGAGATTATGGGCATGGGGTGTGGCCTTACAGAGGGTTTGTTATGTCGGCTAGTGTGGAAGGACATAGAGCCAGCGGAAGCAAATCCAGTAAGCCGAGTGTGCAGGTGAGCGTGCAGCATGTGAGCTGCACGGAGGACGCCGCCGTATTCGTGGCATTGTCAGCTGCTATTGATCTCAGCATGGACGCCTGCAGGCTTTTTTCTCAAAAGCTCCGCAAAGAGTTGTGCCCTCCTCAGGATTCACTCTCTTGAGTCCTTTTTTTCTTTTTATTTAGTTTTTTGGGGGTGGGGGTTATTCGAATTTTTTCTACTTTATTTTTAACGAGTGCTGAAAATTTTAGGCGATGGTTTTTGCACTTTGTCGCGGTTGATTTGGCTAACTCGTGAGAGTGAGAGTAGGGGGTGTTTGTACAGTGGAGAAAGGAAGTTTTATTGACAGGGCTGGGCAGGGTAAGGGCACGCTCGTGTGTTTTTTATTACTAGGGGTGTGTTTGAATTCTGTAACTTTGACAACCCCATTTTAAATGTCAATTGTTGCGTTTTCTCTTTTTACCCGACTTTGCTGCACGGTGGAGGAAATAATTACTCATCTCTTTGTTCTATGACTTCTATCCATCTGAGGTTGAATAAATTTCCGACTTCTTGACTGCCCATTTTGTCAACCAAATCAAACACATTACTAACTTTTTTTCAATCATCTCCAAATTTCCTCAGAAACCAGAACGGTTTCCTGAAGTACATTACTTCTCTTCGATTTATTTTATCCCTGATCTTAATAGACCAATTCAAAATTAATAAGCACAATATTACAATAGAAATCATATTATGATAGGGCTAAGAATCAACAAATCGATGATTTGACTCGATGAATCAACTACATGATTTAACTCCTAGGAACTGATGACAGGCTTTGCTCGCGGACTCGCCCTTAGAGAGCAACTCACGTTTATCGCCGACCTAATCACTCATGACTGGGAAATTGGGAATTGCCGGAAGGAATTAATTCAAAATTGAACAGTTAAGGCACATATGGATATGAAATAGGAAACTCTAGATTCACTCTTTGGAATTATAGAGGGCTTAGAGCTAGGGAGTCTCGTGATTCCTGCTTGGAGCTCCACTTGTACACCCAAAACCAACCCTTCACTCTTTGCACACAGTGCGATTACACATGAATAATTCTTCATTCAATTCAATAGGTGAAGATGAGGAGGAATAGGCGGTGACTCTTGACCCAAAGTCCAAAGACGATCAGATGTTAGTCAATGATATTAGGTATTGTAAAATACTTTTATTTGTTAGAAATAATAAGTGATTGTATTTAGTAAATGAGTGGTTGTGAATACTATTATACTAGTATAACTTAATTTTGAGAGAATTCCTTAAATAGGAGTTAAAATATTTTGAAATTTCAAAATAGGAGTATCTTGTTTTTTTATTCCCTAAATAAGAGTAAATTTCTGCCAAATATGAAATTAGAGGGCTTTAAATATGGCAGATTACTCCTATTCAAGGAATAAAAAACATGATACTTTATTTTGGAATTTCAAAACGTTTTTGCTCCTACTTAGAGCAATTTCTATATAACTTTCCATGAGAAAACTTCTTTGGGATATTGGCTGACCGTGTAGTGGGCTGTCCCAGTTCCACTGTAAGCCATCAGCCCATCACTTGAAGCCCCTCCTAACACCACGCCCATCAAAGGACTGGACGATCCCTTCATGGACTGGACGGAAGTAGAGGCCGAAGCACACCTTGTGGACTGACAGAATATTTCAAATGGAGAGTAATACACCTTTACCAAAAGTATATCATACTTGCATACTTTTCATACATTGTACTCCGTATAACTTACTTTGTACTTTGTACTAGTATTTATTTTGAAAATGATTTACCCCAATATTATATACCGAGTACTACGTATATGTTTTGTATTAACAAACAGTATTACATTTGCACAAAAATATATTCTCTCCGTCCCATAAAATAGTTCTCGCATTGACTTAGATCGTAGTTTAAGAAAGTGAGAATAAAGTGAAAATATATGATTGTGGTTGAGTAAGAAAAATGTAAATGAATGATAGCCACAAAACTTTCCGAAAAGGGAAATAAGAAATATTTTTTGGGACGGCCTAAAAAACAAAACGGGAACTATTTTGCGGGACGGAGGGAGTACTACTTAATTCTGTACCGCTAACATCGAGAAATAAGCAAATGGTGCGGTTATTAAACACACGGTTTACGTTTTGTATAGAATAAATCATTTATATTGAACATTTAACTTTTGTATTAATATATAACACGTTAATCACATGTTTTTAAGACAACTATAATAATATGAATTAGATTGTTTAAACATTAGTATTTGCCTTAGATAGGAGTAAATTAATAGGAAAATTCTAAAATAGGAGTACTGTTTAAATAATTACCTAAATAGGAGTATTTTGCTTAGTCACGGTTTTTCATTCCTAAACTACCCCTGGATACGCGCGCCTCATTCAACTGCAAATTAATTCCCCTAGCTGCGCCGTTTTTTGCTTGCCTCTGTTACTTCGTAACTTCTTCAACCTTCATTGCCTCTGATCGTCGTTCGTTAGGTACACCATATGGCGTGATTATCCATTCGTTCCAGTTTTTAGAATCCTCTATTGAATTTGAAGGTCCGTAGTAAGTTGATCATACTTTCTACTAACTTTCAATGCTCTGCTTCAATTATCGATGCATTTGCGTGTGCATGCTTTCTGAATTATTTTCCATAATTTTGTTACTTTAATTTACCTATTTCAGCACACAAAGTCGATATTAAATTCGTGTTTCACTCCATCCTTGATTTCATCTATGCTTCTACTTAATCGATGCTTTGTTTATAGTTATGTAGTATTGAGAAATTGTTTTGCAAAATTTAGGTTGCTGTTCTTTACGTATTTAAGTATATATATTGCTTACGTTGCTTTTCAGTATGTTCTTCATCAATTATCTGTTGTAGTACTCTGGTTTTTATGAACTTGCTTCAACAATATAGTTGTTATTGTTAATTCATTATAGATAATCTCTGCAATTTATGTCCTGTTATTCATATTTCTTTATTTATGTACTGTAATTCAACAAATATTTCATAATTCCATTCTACTCATCATGATTTAGTCTTTGAATTAGTGACAGTTTCACTATTGTTTGACATGGATCCTGTTAGTAATTATTGCCATCCTCTTTTCTGTTAATGCCATCTGTTTTGTTTTATTTTGTAAACTGCCTTTGAATCATTCTCTGTTAAGTACAAGCTTACATTTTTTCCTTTTTATTTTATAGTCTTTCTTTCTGTTTCTGATTTAAATATTTTTTTGTCATGTTTTGCATAACACTTTGTTTTTCTTTGTTTTAGCCAATCATATCTTCAAAATGGATACTGTTTTGCTGCTTACGGTCAAATTGGATGGTATATGGTTAAGTAATTGTACTTTCACTCATAGGGACACGTGTGGTATTCAAATTCGTGCAGATGCGACATATGTTTCTTTCATTCAAAGTATGCGTGAAATCTTAAATCTCTACAAACCAAACCATTCTTTCATAGTTTCTTATGTTGTTGATGGATGTCCCCCGCCAGTTTGTATTCATGATGAACAGACATTCAAATTTTATCTTCATCTTAAAGTTCTTCAAACTGATTTTGAAAAGTTTCCTCTATGCATTCAGTTTGTTTGTAATGAAGTTGTTGATGTTGAACCTTCCTTACTACTTCACAACTCAGTTCCTCATTCTAGTAATTCAACTGTGTCTTCGTTGTTGTCCGAATCTAGTACTGAATCACATGTTGATGTTTCTGATCATGAGGTTGTTCACAACCTTGAACCACATGATGATGCTTCATCATCTGATTTTTCTGATGTTCCAGAGACCTCAATTGCTATCTCTTCTTCTGTTAGTTCTAAAGTGTCTTCCTCTAAAAGTTTTACTCTTCACCATAATGCTGAGGTTATTACACATCATCATCCTACTTGTCTGATTCCTCTTGCCATCTATAAAGACAAGAAGGCTCTTATCCACCATTTGAAAAAGTATGCAATCAATAACAGTTTTCAATATAGAACCCTTACATCAAAGAAAGATAGCCTTCATGTCATTTGTAAGGATGAAAGATGCAAATGGACAGTGCGCGCAGTTAGATTAACCGCAGTCAATATGTTTCAGATAAGAAGGTATTCACACAAATTACTACATTGATTTATTATATTTGTTCTTTATTGCCATATTTACAGTTCAATTTCCATGATTGTGTGATGGCAATATTCTGTTTCCTGCATACCAGGTTTCGCCCTACACATACTTGTTCGGTCGATTTCAGACAAGGTAACCACAGGCAGGCTACAGCAGATATCATTGCAGATATGGTTGCGTACAAATATCTTGATGCTTCAGCAAAACCATATACTCCCAAACAGTTAAGGAATGACATGGCTTTGGAATTTGGAATTTCAATGTCGTATAAGAAAGCTTGGACAGCACAAAAAATTGCTAAGGAAAAGCAGTTTGGATCAGATGCAGCCTCGTACCAACTTTTACCATCGATGGCCCACATGTTTGAGCAATCAAACCCCGAATCTGCAATAAGTCTTACGATAGGTGCTGATGACACATTCCAGTCATTCTTCTTTTCTTTCGCAGCTTGGACTGATGCGTGGCAGTTTTGTAGACCTGTTCTCATTGTTGATGGCTCATTTATGAAATCTTATTACAAAGGAACATTGCTTACAGCTTGTGCTCAAGATGCAAATAGACACATTGTACCTTTGGCCTTTGGCATATGTGATTCTGAATCTACATCTTCATGGAAGTGGTTCTTTATGAAGTTGCGGGATACTCTTAAGTACCGTCATGATTTATACATCGTTTCAGATCGCCATAAAGGACTGATCAAGGCTGCAGGTGAAATTTTCCCACATGCTATTCATGGGTTTTGTGTGGAACACCTTAGGCGTAATCTGATTCATAAATTCAGAAGTTCTGGTGATGGGATTGGCTGGAAATTTAAGGCTGCGTATATGGCTGCTACTATTCCTGAGTATGAAGAATACCTAGCTATGTTAGATTCTGATAATGCCAAGATTCGTCCGTGGTTAGATAAGATTGGGAGTCATAGATGGGCTAGGTGTATGGCTGGTCCACGAAGATTTGGTGTGCTTACCTCTAATTGTGCAGAGTCGCTGAATAATGTTAATGTCATTGCCAGAGAGTGCTCCATATCTAAGCTCATTGATTTCTTACGTCAACACATGCAAAAGTGGTTCACGGAAAGAAGTGAAAAGGCTTCTAAAAAAAACACCATTTTGTCAAGTAAATGTGAAAAACATTTAGTGTCATTGCAATATGCATCTACACACATGCAAGTATTACTTTTGGTTCCCTAAATGGTTATGCATTACGTTCACTTTTTAAGTGCATTTGTATTCTGGAATAGGAGTTTGTTACTTATTGCCATTCTGTGTTGTTGTTTAATTCCATGCTGCACTGTCTTATGGACATTTTGTGCCATGTCAAATAATGTTTCACCTTTTCTATGTAAGTATACATATTGCTTACGTTGCTTTTCAGTATGTTCTTCATCAATTATCTGCTGTAGTACTCTGGTTTTTATGAACTTGCTTCAACAATATAGTTGTTATTGTTAATTCATTATAGATAATCTCTGCAATTTATGTCCTGTTATTCATATTTCTTTATTTATGGACTGTAATTCAACAAATATTTCATAATTCCATTCTACTCATCATGATTTAGTCTTTGAATTAGTGACAGTTTCACTATTGTTTGACATGGATCCTGTTAGTAATTATTGCCATCCTCTTTTCTGTTAATGTCATCTGTTTTGTTTTATTTTGTAAACACCATTTTGTCAAGTAAACGTGAAAAAAATTTGGTGTCATTGCAATATGCATCTACACACATGCAGGTATTACTTTTGGTTCCCTAAATGGTTATGCATTACGTTCACTTTTTAAGTGCATTTGTATTCTGGAATAGGAGTTTGTTACTTATTGCCATTCTGTGTTGTTGTTTAATTCCATGCTGCACTGTCTTATGGACATTTTGTGCCATGTCAAATAATGTTTCACCTTTTCTATTTTATAATGAATTTTGTAACACTTTTACACTTCCCTCCATCTAGGTGAAACCATCGTCATATTTGGAGTTCGAGGTTGTTGATAGGGATTGCCGATCATTTGTTGTTAACCTTTCAAAGAAGACTTGTTCATGTGGTGTCTTTCAGTTGGATCAGTTCATTTGTGTACATGGTGTTGCTTCTCTTCGTATTCGACCAGGCCTCTCTTGTTATGATTTCATTTCTCCTTATTATTCTCGTGACGCATGGCTGTCTACATGGAGTGGTACCATGCATCCAATTCCGGATCCAAATTCATGGTCAATTCCACAAAGTGTTCTTAGCATTGCATGCAAGCCTCCAAATTGCTTGAAGAGACCTCCTGGCCGTCCAAAGAAATGTAGAATTCCTTCTATTGGAGAGTTTCGTGGATCAAAACGTCGAAGGTGTTCTCGTTGTCATGCCGTTGGACACAACAAAAAAACATGTGGCAATCCAATTCCTCGTGAAAACATTGATACTGTTTAATAGAGTAGGGAGTGTCATTATTGTCTTTGTTGGAAAACATTGGAAATGCTTCTTTTATACGTTCTTAAGTAATATGATGTAATAAAACATATTATGTCTTTGTTGGAAAACATTGTCTTTGTTACAAATGGTTGTGTATACCAAGCTTCAGATCTTTGTTCAATGATTATTTTATTTTGTTTGTATATTTTTTTCAATAATGTCACTATTATTTAAACTCCCTCAAAATACATGTTACTGTACTTTATTTTGTGTCAATAATTGACAAGTTATTCTGTGTACTTGTCAAGTAATGTCATTAATGTAAACATGTACTTGTTATTTAAAGACCAAATATAGTGACAATAATTTCCAAGCAAGGTAAACCAAATGTCACTATATGCCAACGTTTCAGCAATTCTAATCAACATGTCTTATGTTTTACACAAGTAGCTTTGCAAAACAAAAGAAATAAACGTAAAAAAGCAGTACAAGAATGGAAACATTCAAACCCAACTACATGTTTGTTTAATCTCATTCACTCAACACATATTTCATTAAAGACATCCTTGGTCTGCCTTTTGCTCTATTTCTCCTGTATCTTGTTCTGCCTTTTGCTGCTGTATTGAATCAACTCCAAAGTCATTTTCTTTCGAAACATATACATCATTGCAGCATTCAGTTCGTTGAGGTCCATATTCATCATTAGGAACTCTGCAATTTTGAGAAGAAACATTCCACAATTTCCCCTACAACAAACACCCTTTCTATTAGTTTTTTTCATACAATATTATTTCATGTAGCTAAGTTATTAATTTTTTTCTTACGCTGTGTCCTGTTGTGGGCAATCTTCAGCATTTTCAATAGAAATTTGTCTCACTCCCATTGGTTCTTCTTCCATAGCTTCATAGACAGTGTGGTAATCCAGAACTTTGGGTAGCATATTTTGAATGCAAGTTTTGTATGCGATGATGTCACGTAGGGATTCACCTCTTCTCTTGTTCGAGTTGTAGACTTTCATCTTCCTTGCCTTTACTTCATAGACCAACAACACCCAATGACACCCAGTGTTCAAAGGGATATAGACGAAGTCAGCATCTGCCCAGTGCAGCGAGTAGCTTGTTGAAGTCCCCAGAATGTATTCGCAGATATTCCCCTTCTCTGCTGCGTCTTTCAGTGTTGTCTTTCTGTCTAAAATCATATCATGTTCCCTCTTGAGCAGTTCCATGAAAAAAGGTCCTGTTGTTGTGTATTTCTGCCTCAACTTGTAGTGCACTCGCTTGCGTTCTAGATAATACATCCCCACTTCTATGTGCTGCAAAAAAAAGTTAATAAAGTAAAAAAGATGGTATTAAAGGACATTATTACAACCATATCTTATAATTAACCTGTCTTCTAATGCCATCTTCTTCATTTTATTTCCATTTAAGATGTCATTGAACATAAAAACACAATATACACATTTACTAGCAGAAAAGCAGTTAATAATAAAATATGATGTTTATTAATTTAAATTGAATAATATACTATACCTTGTCAGACAGCCATTGGTGGTTTACAAACAGATCATGCAACCATGTTTTTGACTCTATCTTCATGGTGTCCAAAATCAAAGGATTACTGGACATTATCTCGTAGTCGGCCTTGTATCTTCTAATCACGTTGTGTTCCTTCTTTGGTTTTTTCATCAGCCCAATCTTCAAGTATTCTGTGAATTTATTCACTTCCTCTTGATCAATAGCGTCTGTTGGGTCTTCTGAGAACGGCCCATACATCTCTTTACATGGTGGTAAGAATTCTTCTTCTGCCACTCTTTTTGCTCTTTCTTTTCTTCTTCTTTTTGCATCAGCACTCTGCCCCGCTGGTGTGTATCTATCTGGAGATTTGGCTCTTCTTTTTGTCCTTTGAGTTTTTGTAGATGTTTTCTTTCAGTTTTAGTCAACAACAAACAAGCTCAAGTCAGTAATCTATTCACTGTACATGACATTAATGTAATAATGTAAAGTTTAGATTGAAATTACTGTCATCACCTGCACTTTGCTTTGAATATCTTCTGTCTCCTTATCTTCTGTTTCCTTGTCCTCTTGCAAGGTTCCTTTTCCAAGCATTAGTCTTTCAGTCATTTCGGCATTCATAACCAATTCTCTAATGAATTGTGAGTTTTCCTGACTCCAAATTTCATTGTCTGCTTCCTCAGAAGTTTTCTGATCACTTTGCATTTTTTGTTTTTTGTTTTCATCCTCTTCCTTTCCAGATCCCTCTGCCTGTTCTTTACCGTCTTCAATATTATTTGTGGTCTGCATAAAATTACATAAAAAATGCTTAGCTATCTCATTAAATTTTCATTACAGTGCACATATCATGTAATATTTAGATCACTTCACCCTAATTTTGCATACAATATAATTTTAATATTCCATTGTGCTACACAACGCCACTATTTCCATGTTACTGGCATTAAATCCTTCGTGTTCTGTTGTACACCTATTGCCATATAAGTTACAATTATGGAATTAAAGTACAATAGTTTGTATGTTGTTACCTTTTCTTTCTGTGGCCCATCTTCTGTGTTTCTTTTACTCCCAGTCAAATTAATCATGATTTCTTCTTTTTCACTTAGTTCTTTTCCTTCATCAGTCTGACTTAAGAGATTAAAATTTGGAGCATCGTCCTTCATGTTAGCAATTCCTTGGGTCTCTTCACTTGGTTCTTTTCCTTCATCAGTCTGACTTAAGAGATTAAAATTTGGAGCATCGTTCTCCATGTTAGCAATTCCTTGGGCAATTGTCTCTTCACTTAGCTCTTTTCCTTCATGAGTCTGACTTAAGAGATTAAAATTTGGAGCATTGTTCTTCATTTTAGCAATTCTTTGGGCAATTGTTTCATTGTCAACTTCTGTATCATCAGCTTGCTGCTCATCTTTCTGCTTCCCCTACAACAAATATTAATTTCATTTTATATGTGTAAGTCAACATTTTGTATTTAATGACATATAAATTGGAAATAAGTGTCTCATATGGAAAGTACCATTCTTATTTCATTACCTTGTCATTCTCTTGAGAATCTTCTTCAGAGCTTTCATTCTCATTGTCAGGAGTGCTACTTTTCTGATCACTCACATCCTTTATTGCTTCATCCTGTAACAAATATTAACTCCATTTTATATATGTACTTAACCTTTGGTATTTAATGCCATATAAATAGGAAATAAGTGTCTTCTATTCAAATTACAATTTTTATTTCATTACCTTGTCATTCTCCTGAGAATCTTCTTCAGAGCTTTCATTCTCATTGTCAGGAGTGCTACTTTTCTGATCACTCACATCCTTTATTGCTTCATCCTGTAACAAATATTAACTCCATTTTATATATGTACTTAACCTTTGGTATTTAATGCCATATAAATAGGAAATAAGTGTCTTCTATGCAAATTACAATTTTTATTTCATTACCTTGTCATTCTCCTGAGAATCTTTTTCAGAGCTTTCATTCTCGTTGTCAGGTGTGCTACTTTTCTGATAACTCACATCCTATAACAAATATTAACTTCATTTTCTGTATGCACTTAAACCTTTGGTATTTAATGCCATATAAATAGGAAATAAGTGTGTTCTATGCAAATTACAATTTTTATTTCATTACCTTGTCATTCTCCTGAGAATCTTCTTCAGAGCTTTCATTCTCGTTGTCAGGCGTGCTACTTTTCTGATCACTCACATCCTTCATAGCTTCATCCTACAACAAATATTAACTTCATTTTATATATGTACTCAACCTTTGGTATTTAATGCCATATAAATAGGAAATAAGCTTCTCATATGGAAATTAACATTTTTATTTCATTACCTTGTCATTCTCCTGAGAATCTTCTTCAGAGCTTTCACTCTCATTGCCATCCGTGCTACTGTGCTCATCACTGATATCCTTCATAGCTTCATCTTCCATGTCCTCTCTGTCCTTCATCACTTCCTTCTTTCCTTTTGTCTTTGATATTTCCTTCACAAGACTCAGAATCTTCTTTAGCATTGCATCTTGATTTATTTTCATTTCTTTTATCTCTGCACGCATATTGGCAATTTCTTTGGACTGCTTGGCTAGTGTCTTCATGATTATGCCCTTTCCTGCCTTTGACTCATCCCCACTTTCATTGGACCTAGATTCTTCACTATCAACCACCTTACCTTTTTTCCTCAACACTCGCCTGCTGCACTCTCCTTTTTCTTTCTGTCCTGCCTTTTTTCTTTTATTGTTTCCTCCTGAATTTGCTCTCTGTATTTCTTTTCCTTTTTTTCCTCTTGCATCCTTTTTGCTCTGCTTTGTGTTCTTTATGGTTGCATCAATTCTCAGGTCCTTTGCTTCATTGCTTTCCCCTCCTACAAGTCCTTGGATTCTTTGGATCTCATCTGCACTTGGAACTATTTTTGTCCACTCAAACTGTAACATTGGCAATTAAACTTAGATAAAAAAATATATGACTTATTCACTGTATGGAAATGTAACTATTTACATAAATAATTGTGCATAATTTAATTGAAATTACCTTGTCATTACTGAAAATGAGTTCACAAAATTTTTGTATTGATGGTTTCTTGTGAAAAGCCCACTTCAATGTCCTAGGAATGACATTTTCTTTGTCTTTTATAACATAGCATAGCCTTTCATTAGCCAATATTGGAAAGGTCTCGAAGGCCCAGATTTGTATTGCTTGCATACAAGCTGTGAACGCCACTCTTTTACGTGTGCAGAACTTGAGTGCTTCTGCGTTGTTCTTCATATTTGCGACTAGATCATCCCAGACATCATCACCCCAAGGGTAAGAATTGAATGCATCTAAGTCTTGTACCAAGTTAATATATTTCCCTGGCAAGCGAATCGCGTATTGGTTTCCAAACAATCCATGTGCTAAAGCATAGAGTAGTCCTAGTTTAAGACCATCATTCTCTTCTGTTCCTGGATTGTTTCTGTTGTACCTCTCCAAAGCTTGAACAATATCCTGCCTCACTATTACTTCTTTGGTACCAAAATACCTTCTGCACATATCCCCACCCACGTTATCAGATACTGCCGGTTTCACCCCATTTATCTTCAAACCGGTGACTATTGCCAAATCTGCTTTTGTAAAGCTTATCAGACTATTGGCTACATGGAATCTTATAACATCCTTTTCAACGTTACCATTGAACTCCTCAATATAGTTTGCTACGAAACAAATGTTGAGTTGCCCACTTAATCGTGGCATATGTTCTATATCTAGAATCCAGCCTAAAACTGAACTTCTAAAAAGTGTTATTTCTTCTTCATTCAACTTTTCCTTGATTCGCTTACCAACCTCACTCAAATTGCAAAAGCAATTCACACGCATTTTTTCAAACTTATCCAGCAATCCTCTATAACATGTCCTCGTTATAGTCTGCAGTAAACATTTAATTATATCAATATTTTCATGTAGATTTACATTTGAAGTACAGTAAAAAAGATGGTATTAGTGCACATGATTTAAAAAAGCTATTATAATTAACATGTCATTAAATGTCATCATTTTCATGGTATATCCATTTCAGATGACATTCAAGACAATTCAGTTGTATTAAAAAAGAAGCACATATGTATACGTTTTACAGTTTCAATATAATATAACATTTAATAACAAATGTAGGCATTGTAACACATTAACCCAGTACTCTACATACCATCATTTTTATTTTACATATTGACATCACTATTTAAGATATCTTTTAATGACATAATTTTTATCATTATTTCCATTTCAGATGAGATTCACCATAATACTTACTTTGAAATTGTGCTTCACCTTCTATGAATTGAAAGCATCACTATATATATATATATATATATATATATATATATATATATGTATGTATATATATGACAAAAATTCAAATGATCTCATTTGTAAGTCCAAAAATGCCATTCCTAAATACCTAAATCGCACAACCATGGCTATCATCTCTTCTATAACACATTCAGTTCAACTAATAAAACTTGATTCAGTACACAAATATTAGGAAAATATGGCACTAGGAACGAAAACCACACACAAACCATTGTTCAAGCACTAGACACACAAAAATGACAATAATATACAATTATTAGCAGAACAATATCATTCCAGACTTCGAATTCAAACAAACATAGTCACTATTTCCATTTACGAATCAAACAATGTTGATATTGACAACATAAAATCGTACCAGGTCTCGCCTCATTTTTACTTTTTGGCCTGTTGATTCGAAGTCGGAATCCGCCATTTTAGGCTCTTCTCTGGTCGTTTTGCTTCCTCCTACAACTTTAGATGTTGTATTTTACTTTTTTTCTTCCGCTAATGCCTTCTGCGTATCGGAATCCGCCATTGAATGCTTTGGACTCTCTCGATTGATTCAATCAACTGCTTAACGGCTGAGTAATTAATGTAGGCGCGAGTTTTGAAAAGGAGGTGTTGGGCCGTATTAGTTACAGAACCGATCTCATTAAGCTCAGGGATTCAGTAAGGGTATTTATGTCATGACACATGCTATTTAGTCCCCCTAAACTTCTCGTTAAGCAGCACTCCTATTTGTGCATAAATGATATATTTTAGTCCTATGTAGGTAATTTTCTCTTTAAACATTTACGAATATACATGGCCGGTTCATATTAAAATCTTGTACACATTTAGAGTTTTAGTTGTGAGGGGCGGGGGCGGGGGCGGCGCCCGCATTTCTAGCTTTATACCTCCTCCAACAATGGCATTTATTGTGGCAACACACCAATACTCCGAAACATAGGAGCGCCATGCAAATGACCAGTCCAATGCTTGCAAAAACAAGTTTAGCAATAGCAAGATTGCGTAGAGTAGTTCGTCGAGATGAAGACATGCGGCGGCGGCGGCGGCGGCGGCCTAGTGGACGGTGCGGTGGCGGCTCTTTGTACATGATGATTCGAAGGTGATGGTTCCGCCGCAGCAAAGGATTCCCTGCGAATGAGGAAGGAGGGAAGCGTTGGAGGAGAGGCGGAGGAATGGGGCCGCTGAGATGGTTGTTGCTTAGGTTCAAGCGGCTGAGGCTTTTGGGGAGGGCGGGCGGGGTGGGTCCGGTCAGCGAGTTATTCTCGAGGCGCAGCGTTTGGAGGGCGTCCAGTCTTGCCATTGCCCTTCCCGGTATGGACCCGTGGAGCCTGAAACCGGGAAGCTCCAGCGCAACCACTCTGCCGCCGCCGCCGCCATCTGCAGGTGACCAGCTGCATTTCACACCAACCCATCCCCTGCACATAGCGACTTTCTTGCTCCACCCCAGTTGCCGCCGGCGGCCGTGGCCGTGGAGGCGTTGACCAAAACTAGAAGCAAAGTCTAGAAGGGCTCGTTTGTCCGTTCCCAGATCTGATGCGGTGGCCACTGCTTCTAGGTCTTGGATTACAAGTAATAATAATAGGAGAGGAAGACAACACATTCTTTGCTGCAGTATCATCACTTGCTTGATCTTCATCCCAATAATATAATCAGCGAGCTGTCCTGCCCGGATTCCCGGCCCTGATTCATCAAATGGCATTGTGCAAATAAGAGTAATTAAATGCATGTGTTCCATTATGTCCGGTTGCTTAGATCATCTCCAATGCTAAAATGTGCACCATGCACATGTGGCATTAGTGATAGCCACATAAATATTAGCAAATAAATTATCTCTCTCCTTATTTGAATGATTTTATACAATTTTGGTAAGTTTTTCCCTACAATGTCAACTGAAATGTCAACATTTAGACGGTCTCCTTGACACTGTGAAGAAAAATTTACTAAATCTGTATAAAATCATTAAAATAAGGAGAGAAAGAATTTATTTACTAATATTTATGTGTCTATCTCTAATGTCATGTGTGCACCGTGCACATTATATCATTGGAGATGCTCTTATAGAGGTTATTTTTGCACTTTTTTAATTAATTCGAGGACTTGTTTGCTACTTTTCCCAATGAATCAAATATGTACGAAGCATTTAGAAATACTTTGATGAAGTTGCAAATTCTCAAGCATATTAAGGGAGCGTTTGCAATTGCTTAAAAGGGATACTTCTCCGTTTTTGGCTTAAAAAAGCACTTATTTGCCAAACACTACAAATTTTTACTTTTCTCGGCTTTCGTGTCAAAAGTGCTTTTCCCCTTTTTATACACCAAAAGCACTTATACCAAACACTACCAACTTTTACTTTTCAAAATCACTTTTTCTCAAACACTATAAATTTTTATTTAATCACTTTTTCCAAAAAGTGCGTTTTTTTAAGCAGAAGCTGTTGCAATCACTCCCTAAAAATGAACACTCATTTCCATTATTTACAATGGAGCCAAAAATTCATTATTTTTGGCTTGATAATATGATAGAATAAAGAAAAATGACTCACTAAATTGTCAGCTCTTCTTTGTTATGAAACAATAGTCAGTCCATGCAATTTTGGACACGATTTTCACTATGGGTCATCCGGAAACGGTCTCTCTGTGCTTTAGTACAGGGGTAAGATTCCGTACACCCGACCCTCCCTTTGCGGCACTGGGGTAAATGAAAATGAAAAATGAATGATTAAAAATCAACACTCCACATGCATGTACTGTGGAGTACGTAGTATATATTAAGTGTAACAATGTAACCGTTAAACTTCACAAATAATGTGCAAAAAATTATATTATAATTATATGGGAAAACTGTCAAATAGGTCTTCGAACTTTCATAAAAAAGTCAATTAAGTCCTTCTATAGGAGACTATGTCCGGTTGTCGCGATTTGGGGTGGTTCTAGGTGCAATTTTTTGATAAATTTTTTTGAACATCTTATTCATCAAGTCTAGTTTACTCATAACAAATTTCAGCTAAAAATTTAATCGGGAGCGCATTCAAATTAATTCGAGAACGGAAAAATGAGCAGTTATCTTCAAGAATTAATTTGAATGTGTTCCCGATTGAATTTTTAGCTGAAATTTGGTATGAGTAAATTAGACTTGGTGAATAAGATGCTCAAAAAATTTCATCAAAAAATTCCACCGGGAAACGCCCCAAATTGCGACGGCCAGACAAAGTCTCCTATAGAAGGACTTAA